TTATACGTATCTTTCTTTCTAGTTGAATTATAGACAATTCATAATTAAAATATCACAATTTCACTTCCGTTTATTCATCTAACGTGAACACTTTGGCACTTCCCTTCCTTATTACTTTCCGACTTGAACACAACCTTACAAATGCAGCCGAATTATATTCTTTTTTTTTTACATATATCTACACGATACAATAAAGCTTAAGTCGCTTCTTTGATTCTTATCCATATTCTGATGAATGCGAAGCAAGTTTTTCCATATCAAAAATTTAATGAAAAGCCGGTTATCACTTGTCCATCAATCTTTCCGATTTTCGATTAAAATCGATCCTTTTAATCAAAGTTTTAATAAAATTTTATACAAAATTGAATGAAGAAACATTTTTTCATCTTAACACTTATCCTATCAGATAATATTATAGCCAGAAAATATTAAGTAGTAAACTTAATTCCTGCCGTTTATTCATCTCCAAAATTTTTCCCATGATATTGAGCGTTTGAGACATTGGAGTAATATTTAACGCTTTCGACAACTCTAAAAGTGTTTGAATTGGATTCTCATCGAGCAATTTTTGCTGCTTCACATCTTCAAATTTTTTGCCCGGGACGTTTTTTATCTTTCACGTAAAAATCACCGTTTCGAAAGCGTTCAAAGCAAACTCTACCATGTTCTTTTCGATGGAGTTTCATCACCATACACTTCGGATAATAAGCGATGCGTTTCAGCTGCGGTTTCCTCGAAATGGTGAAGAAGCACATGTCGGAAAAACAGCTTATCGGTTCATTTTCAATCAATTAGAAAATTTCTTTGGCATCGAAAAATCTAACTTGTGAGGAGTAAATCATTTTCATCAATGTCTAAACTACAAAACACATGTAACTTCATCCGACTTTACGTCGAAACTCGCCAACGTTGGAGTCGGTATCCTCTAGTAGCGAGCGACAGGAATTAAGTTTACCACCTAATATCACAGCAAATATAAATAAGAAAACGATTTGACAGAAATACAATATTGCTGCATTTTATACTAGTATCTACAAATCTATAAATTAAAACTATAAATTATAAAATTATAATAGAATAAACGTTCGAATATCTATATCGCGCAATTGAAGTGGTCGGCAACAATGGTATAATGTACTCCAATTATCCCCGGGAGTGTCGGGTCTCAACTCACATTCATAAAAATTCATTCACGGCTGCGGTGGATCCTTAAGGCTCCTGCGATTACTTGATTAGTTGCTATGGCCATATTTTATCATGACATCATAAATGAGAAATAACACGTTAAAGTTCTTGCATTCATAAATAAAGCAAATTTAAATAAAACAAAATAATGAGATCACACTTTGAAATGCTTGTAAAAATGGGCTAAAGCTATTCTTGTCCCCCCTCCCCTCCTCCTCCCTCATCCAAGTCAGACGTAAAAGGCACGTGAAATGCATAATAGACCTATTTTCGCTTCACATGTCTTTTACGATTATTTACTAACTGTCAAGAAGGAGGAGAGAGATAAAGAATAAAGATAGCTGGAGATAAGAATAGCTTCGGCTCATTTTTATGCTTTAAAGCAATCTATTATTTTATTTTATTCGAATTTTCTTTATTTCTTTATTTAAAAAAGGCATGTAAGAAACTTCAACGTGTCACTTCTTGATTATGATGTCGTGATCCAATGTGACCGATGGTGACTAATCAGGAACCTTAGGACCTGAGTACGAAGATGTCCATTACTTATAAGTCGAGGAACGCAAATTGTAATAAGTCAACGTAATGAATGTATTCAGTACAATTACCGCTGACTAAACGTGAACTTCAGTGAACTCCTGCACATGTGTTTGGTCTATATTTTTTTTTAGATTTAATGAAATACGCCAATCAGATGCAAGAATTCAGAGTGCGTTTCAATGCTCTCAACGTTCACAGAATCATTTCATTCCTGTTATTTATCAAATATTAAACAAGGACTAATAATACTTGCGAGCAATGTGAGCGCCAAGTGAAACGCATTCTTAGTAAGCGATTGTAGTATTAAATGCATCCAATGTTTTGACATAATTATATATGCTACTACGTATGCTAATGGTACATAAATTATGTTCCAAAATTTACAGCCAGTACTAAAAATCTATAACATGTAACATAAACTACAGATTTTCAGTAAATTTTGGGACACAGCCATAGTGACGCCAAAACATTGGCTGCATTCAGCAGATTCAACAATTGAATGAGCGTTCGCTGTTATTTATGTATTCTTTTAGATCATCCAATCAGAATTTTAAATCTTAGAAGAATACATTAATAGTAACGAGTGCTCACTCAACTGAGTCTGTTGAACGCAGCCATTGTATGTTGATCTACAACTTACGTTCCACGATTCGAGTAACGATCATCTTGGGCTTAGGCCCTTAGTCTTGAAACGCAATAGGTATAGAAAGCCTTAAGCTTTAAGAAATTAACTAATCTGCGATTTATTAATTCCTTAAGACTTAAAGTTTATTACACCTATTATGTTTCGAGATTTAGAGGCTGCGCACAATGCGCACAAACAAGGAATAGGGAACAGTGAACAGAGAATAAGGATGGAAACATAAGAGTTTTACATAATGTGTAAGAAAATAAATCGATCGAAGTCTTTCATTTCCTTTTTTCCGTAAAATAAAATAATTCTAAATGATTAATTTTCTTATGCTTTATGCAAAGATCTATGCTCACAGTTTCTGATAGATTGAAATTCTTGATTCAATCTATCAGAAACTGTGTATTCTACATGATTTCAGATAGATTAAAATAGATCTTATTCTGTTCCCTGCTCCTTTCATTTGCAGTCCCTTAATATTCAGTGCATAGACAACCATAGGCAACTTATATATCATCAAACATATAATTATAATTTATTATATAGTCCTTGGTTATATTATTACGCATATTTTTTTATAATTAATTGACAAGAATTAATTATATTATATTATATTATGATTTATGACTCATTTATCATTATTATAATTGACAAAAATATGTAAAGAAAATAATTGTTTATAAAGTAGATACATTTATTATACCTTACTTAATACTTACAAATGCATAAAGTCCTGTACATAGAGGAAATATTAGAAATAGAAATAAATATTAAGATTTCAATCTATCAAAAATATATTCCGATATAAGTGATTTTTGATAAGTTAAAATCTTAATATTTATTTTTATTCCTAATATTTTCTCTATTGTGTACAAAACCTAAAAACTATCTATGAATCTGTTAGCAGTTCATAGAGGTAACATTAAAAAAAGCGCAAATATTTTTCTGTTTCTATTATAGAAATTTCGTTTTACTTGTATAGAGAATTTCAATTTAAACATTACATATAGGACATTATTATTATAATTAATCACAGGAGCGGCGAAGTAAAATTTTTCAGTGTGTGAAGTTCCTGAGAATAGATTGAGAGGAGAGAAGGGAGGGGGGGGGATAAATATATTTCCTCATACACCTTTTCTACATGGCAAAAGTAGCCGCTCTAATTTTATTTTTTTTTTTTAATAAAATTATTAATGAGCTCCTTCATATTTAACTTATCAACCATTTCTCAATAAATATACAATATCGCAATATGATTTAAACGTTTTTGTCTCATTGTCAAATAACTTTTTAAATGTCTATAAAAAAATGATCTTTCATTTGAACAAGTTGTAAGAATCGTTAAAAGAACGCGAATAAATTTTACGCATTCTGGTACAAGGATCTCTGATCTTGTGATTGTCATGTAAAAATTGCATTACGTCCTTCGAGCAATGCAGTGACATTTTTCATATGTTTGTAATTTCTAAATTACAATTTTTAATTTCTAAATTTCTCTCCGACCAAATGTTATACAAATATGAAATTCGGTGTATGGAATTCCATACATTGAATCAGTGTGTGGAGTACTCCATACCAACCATATCACAAATACATTAATACATATTGGAGTCGCCGCCCATGTAATTAAAAGTAATAGCTTCGAATAGTGATTTCACAAGATAAAATTAAAGAATGCGTATATTAGCTCTAAGAATCAATCTAATAATGAGATAACCCAGAGATTAATAATCCAAAAAGAATACTCGCGGATATTAATGTCGGCAAATCGACTACTGCTCGAATATGATTACGCCAACATAATATGCAGCATATAATTTGCGATATGTGATCTTGGTTTAATTATCTGGGGTCATATAACGAGGTGTACAAAGTACACAACCTTGGAATATCCTGAAACACAGGGACATAAAAAAATAGAATATTTGAGGACATAAATCGGATGTCCTCCCTCCACTCCCCCACGTATTGTGTGGGCTTATATGGTTTTTAATTAGTATTATTGTAATGTGAATTATAGCACTAAGGAGGGCCAAAATTCGAAATGTTTGCTATTTTTAATTTGTTAATTAAATGTCCTTTTAATAAATCAACATTGCGTATCAATATTCGCGCAAGTTCTTTTTAGCTAATTAATAATCTCATTATTGATTTGACAAGGTTTTAAAAAACATACATATGTTTTTATAAAAATAAATAAATATTAATACTAATATAAATTTTAATACTAATAAAATTGTTTTATTGAGAATGTCCAAATATAAAATAGTACTTTAGATATGAAAAATAAAAATAACTATCATTTTCGACCATTCAAGATGAATCTATTCATGCGTCTAATATGACCAGGGACTATAACAAAAATCTCGCACTTTTTTTTTTAGATATTTCATGAAAGAAAGTTTCATGACTCATTATATTTTTATGATTAATCTAATATCATATACATATACAGATATGAATTTATTCTACTTTTTACACAATAAAGATCTATCATTAAAATCTGTATAACCCTTTGCGCGCGCGCGTGACATGTATATTTTTTATTTGGCAGATAAAATAAATTCGGAAAGTTATTGTTATGATAGATGCGACGATGATTATGACAGTAATAATGATGATAATAACAGTCGACCATATTTGATGCAACGGATTGTGATGTTTCACTACGAAATTTCTCACTGATCCGTCTCAAGGGGATTCTAAAGTCGTCAGTATTACCGACACACATTAATTTTGTATAATTATTTTTCCTTCTTTTACAGATTTAGAAATCATTTTCCAAGATTAAAATATATGCATTAATATGTATCTGCAAGGTGGAGTCTATGTTAAGAAAAAAATTGTTTAAATTGAAATCTTTACCATTGCTTAGTCCAATATGGCGCCAAAGCTGTCAATATCGTAACATTTGCTTGATGATAAAAGCTTTGCAATTTGTACTTACGGAATTGTGGTCCACAGACTAGAAGTTTACATGAACAAACAACGCGGAGTTCTTAAAATTAGACTTAGATGTCTAATTAAAATACTATCGTTCTACGAAAATTTATGTATGTGTGCGTGAGATATTGATGTAGTAATATATAAAGATATGTCGATGTGTTGTATTTTATCAGTAAAATAGCAATCTTGTCGGAATCGGGCTTCACTTTAGAATCCCCTTAATGTATCTTGGGCAAGGATTTGCGCTGCTCACTGCAGTAAATCCTCACGCGCTTCCGCTATCTAATGATAATGACAACAATAATAGTGATGATTATGATGATAATTATGTATGTACGATGATAATCATTACGACGTACACTATAGAGGATGTCCCAAAAACTTATAGGTTCTTTTAAATATTGTATGAGAAGAGTAAAGAAGCTGAGAATTTTAAAAGACTTAAGCCATCATGTCAAATGCTAATTCTAATGAGTCGATAGTTTGTAATCGGTGAGTCTAAAGCCCATATCAGACTATCGACTCTGCAAGCTGATCCTCAGCAAACCAATCATAGTGAGGCACCGGCTGACTGGATCGGCCAACTCACGTTTAAATTCGAATCTATTTTTCGAGTCAGCATTGTTAGCAACTCAAAATCATAACCAATAGAAATACAAGATTTAATCACGTGATAGTTTGGCGATTGTATAAGAAAAGGTAGTTTGTAAATATCCATAGAAAAAACAATTGGGGAAGATGGCATCAAAAAAGAAATTGGCGTCGCGATATATATCGCGAAAATATTATTAATAAGTGAAATTCGAGAAAGACTTCAGTTCTACGAATTTGTCAGGCGAATTACCTTAAAACGTGAAATTTAGCCAGTATCACATCTCGATTTTCAGCCTAGGTACTATATTTCAATATAATTCGTCCGAGATTTGCGATACTCTCGCGTATTATTAATTTTACTCTTCTATACAGTTGAGCCAATCGATGGCAATCGTCGGCATCGACAAGAGTGATCGATCAACTGGAATCGACAGAGTCGGGACGGCAGAATCGGTAGTTTGATACAGCCTCAAAGAATAATCAGTGAGTCGTGATTAATTGAAATCGATGAAGTTGGCCAACTTCTAAGACTACAAACTCAGCTGACTCATTATAAAATCGGTAAAACAAATAAAACAATTTTTTAAACAGAACTACATCGCGTTAAATATAACAAGTCTGGTTATTTTGATCTTGAACTAAGACATTAGCGCAAAAATAATTAAACAATTAACCAACCGACAGTCTTATTTAAAAGGAGAAACTTAATAATTCTAGGACATTCTGTATAGGTACAATTTTTTTTAATAGTTATATACATATTATACGTATTTGTGTATGTTCGTGTGTGCATGTATAATTTTGTTTACGCACTTGAACATTTTCCTCTATTTTTTTTTTTCAAGATACTTAATTTTCGTCCGAAGACCCGCTAGAACTTTCTGGCATAGTATTGAACCAATTTTCACGAGCTCCGGTAATCCTAGATATAAAGACACTTTAAAGATTCATCTACTAAAATCTTTTATTTGTGATAAACCATCAACAAGTATATTACTTACAAAAAATAAGGAACGTTCCAAATTGCGCAATTTTCAGACCGTTGAAACTCGGCGAAAACTTATTGCAGACAAAAAATTTTTCAAAACGAAAACGTGTTAAAGCATAAATTTTAAGTAAAAATTAAAATACTCTTTTAATTTTGTCTGCGATGGTTTTTCGCCAAGTTTCAACATCGATTGTACAAAATGTAGAGAGGTTCACAGTTGCCTAGTTCAGTTTAAGAAAAATCGTAAGAAAAAATTAAAAAAAGGAATTTGTAGAGGAAACTATGTATTTTTTTGGTGTACATGTCTTTTTTTTTTTTTTTTTTTGAAGAAAAATCTTTTTATCAAGCTGCACAGTGTTGAGTATAATTTAAAAAACAAAACGATATAATTGTTTTTAAGATACAAAACTGTGAAAATAATTTTCAAAAAATGGCTAAACGCATGCTAAAATACAAATCCCAAATTTCAAAATGCTATTTTAATTATTTGTTTGCGATAATTTTTCATTAATAATAAGTTAAGTTTCAACGGTCTGAAAATTGTGCAATTATAATTGATTATGAATATTTTGAAAGTATTCCTTATTTTTTGTTGAATAGTGTATATTTTTATGCTTGACAAAAATATAAATATAAAAAGAAGTGTTTTACAGCTCTAATGATTCTAAAAATATTAGATTAATAGGATGTCTACCTTGTACGTTGGCGTGTACTCGTCGGCAGTGTAAGTGAAGTTCTATAATACTGTGGTGTAACACTTGATGTTGCTTCGTCCGGTCTTCTGTGCAACGTCATGGTTTCGTGAAGTGATGTAACGAGTTCATCTTCGTTATCTAAGTAGTAACGAGAACCCGTCGCGCTCTTACAGTTCTCGCATTCGCTTCGATAATCGTCCGTATCGTCGTGCAGAGTGGGTAACGCTTGTATACTGCAGGTACACGTCACCGACTCGAAGCTGCCACTTGCATTGATTTCGTTAGCTATGCTTAACGAAGGCTGCGTTAGAGAAGGAAAGTATGACAATTAATAACGTAAATGTCTTTACACGACGATAAATTAGTAACGTAAAAAATAAATACAATTTATACGACGATGAATTGTATATTTTTATACCGTGTATTCCCGAGTCCGCTCAGATACATTTGCCGCATCTGCGGTGTACGTTTCCGATTGCGCTAAACTGGACGCCACAGGAGCATCCGTGTAAAACGGGTCCGAGTTTTTGGTACTTTTGTAATTGCCCGGAGCCGCGACTGCGACTGCGGACAGTTGTATAGGACGTGACAGGCTTTGAGGCGCCGCAATGCTGCTCGGCGACAAACGAAGATAGTCCCTCGTTGAGCAATCAGTCAAAACATCCTTTGCTCTGCTAGCGACGCACGTCAACGTTCGCGGAATTGTACGATGGGAGGATACGTCGGAATTCGACAGAGTCGCCGATATTGTAAACGCACCACCGCTGTCGCCATCGCCGCCGCTCTGCCGCGGAAACATCGTTGTGTGCTGGCGATAGTTCTTAGGTATAGTGGAATGCGATACCGATAATAGCGGCTGCGTACTAGTGCTTGTCACTGCGGAATGTTGACTATCGTTAAAACTCGTTATAGCAATCGACGAGACCGGTAGATTCTCGTACGTGTTTGTCCCTATTGTGAAACTCGCGGTGGAAGTGCTCGTATTCAGACCAATGGTGGACGATGCGCTGCTTTGGCTTATTGGTCGATAACCACCAGCATATGCGCTGGGACTAGACAACAGTCTATTTGACGAAGACATCAAGGGCGTATGTATGTTACTATCATTAGATGACGCCTGTGTATTTGCGGTCAAATCATTTTGCGTGTCCGTGACAACCGCCACGCTTGCATGATTGTTAGAATTTGGCATGTAATTGTCCGAGAAGTTCATTGACAGCAACGCATGCGGATTAATTGATAACAATGCTTGTTCCGCTCTCGCAGCCGCGATCGCTTCCTCATAGGGCGGAGGTGCTTCACCACGCGGAAAGTAATTACTGCCAGGTGGTTTCCATAATGAGTAACCTGTTCCGCAAGGTATGTCGTCCATGGGAACTCCGTGAGGTAATCCGCCTCTCTCCAAGTATCCCATGTTACCTAAATTTCTTTGGTCCTCTCCAAGTTGTCTGTTTTCTCGACCTGCCACACAAACTAATACACAACATATATACATTTTTTTTACATTGTCATATTTGTCATAAAAAACTTTCACACTTATATCGTTTTTCAGTAGCAAAACTGATGCGCATTCAAGACACATCAAAATACATAAATATATTTTTATTAAACATACAACTTTACGTCGATTTGTGTACAGCGGTTTTAAAGTACACTGAGTGCGCATTAATTCTGCCAATGAACCGCTATTAATTACAAACTGTAGTGCATAAGTTTTAAGAAAAACTATATAAAGAACACATTAGATAAGTTTTATGAGTATTTAAAAGTATGTAGAATCCTTTACAATTACGTTCTGCTTTTATTTTCAATCGCTGTTAAATACTCTTCTTTTATAATCATCTTCATTTGATCGTTGCAGCCACTATAGCAGCTTGAATTTCTGGAATATCAAATCTTTGATTTATTAACTACAATTCCAATATCAAAGAGACGGTATTGATTTTTATCGGGTTGGCAAGAAAGTAATTGCATTTTTTTGGTCAAAGTTGTATATACAATATCTTCATCAATAATAAATGAAATTTAAATTTAAAAAAAAGGTTTTAAAGCTTGAAATTTCTACTTTTAAAAGCTTACCACGTTTTTTAAGTTTATATGAGATTGGTAATTTTTACATACCAAAGACTACGAGTTGAAAAAGACGGAAAATTTTCTTCTCACTTTGTGGGTTTTGTAACGTGAAACAAATTTGAGAAAATTTTCGACTATCTATCGTGAAAGCTTGATACTTTCTCTACAAAATCGTTTTAAATATTCCTACGACTTTTGGTGATTGAGTTATCGCGAATTAAATAAAAGGATCATTTTGACTTTAATTGCTCATAATTCCGTTAAAAATTGTCGTATCGCAATTTAAAAAAGAGATTCTTAAAGCTGAAACTTTATTCTATCAAGATATATTTATATTGATTGGTAAGAAAGTAATTGCGGTTTTTATTGATAGATGCCTTTAAAAAAAACGCAATTATTTTCTTACCAATCCAATATTTTACGCAATAGTTTACAACCCATCTTAAATAATGTCTTAAGATGCTAATATGGCTCTTTTGGTCGATATTCGTAGTCGGTTTTTATCTTAAGACTATCTTAAGTAATGCCTTTTATCTCTCGTACGACGAATGCAGAATCACTTTCACTTATGAGCGATAAGACAGTTCGGAATACGGGAGCGGTTAATGAAAAATGATCATGACCTTATATTTGCGTCGATAATGTGATACGAAATACAGTAAAGAATAGTAATAAATTTATTTGTAAGAATCATACATATACTTATTTCATGTATCAAGTATACAGAAAAGTATGTACTAAAAAGAGATAAAGTATATATCGTTTACACACAAAGTGCGTTTTTATATATAATTCCTTCCCAAAAATAGTTTGCAATAGAAATTCTGTTATGGATCAAATGAAATACATTCGTTTCTCTCGTCCGTCGAAAACGATTCGCCTTTCAAGGATTAAAATGCTAATAAAAAAAAACGACTTTATGATTGATTTATGAAATCTTAAGAATGTACTTAAGATGGTCCTAAATCTCAATGACCAACCCAAATTAGGAAGGACTCAAATTTTAACTCTTCATTCCACTTTACGCGTCCCAAATTTTGTCTCAAATTAAGGACACGAATATAAATTGTCCCTCTCAAATATAAAAATAATAAATGTGGAATAATAAATGAAAATAATGAGTGAAATCTAATTATACATATATAATTTTCAACTAATATGTGGAGAATTTTATGATTTTTTATCTAAAAACCCAGATATTATTCATAAAATGCACTCAATAGAAAAGTACAATTTTAATAAATAAAATGTGATCTCGTAACTTGATCTAATTTTTTGTTGTGCCGTCTGTATTACCGACTAAATCATATAATTTTTGTATTAGGTGTTGGAATTAATTCGTAGCGTTTTTAATGAAAGAATGTTATTTATTTCACATGAGCATTAAAAAATACATTAATGAAAGTACTTCCCATCACTTGTAAAACGCTACGAATTAATTCCAACACCTAATATAATTACTTTTTCCCTTTTTTATAGATTCAAAAATTCTTTTCCAGGATTAAAGTATACGTCTTACGTGTCTGAGAAGTAAAGTTTATCACGAGAACTTTTAAAAAATTTCAAAATTGAGATCTTTACCATTTTTTAGTCCGATATGGCACTCTACATCAATAGTGACATTTGCTTCATGTAAAAGCTGTTTGACCTATACTTACGAAATAGTAGTACACAGACTAGTAGTTTGTAGGAAGAAACAATGTGGAGTTCTCAGAACTGGACTTAGACGGCTAATTAAAATGTTATTGTTATGCGAAAATTTATGTATACATATGCTATTGATGTAATAGTATGTAGTGATGTGTCAGTAACATCGCAAACACGATAGAATAAAACTTTACGGAAAAACAACAAAAATTATTTATTTTCTTCTCTTAGAGTTCTTAGAAATTTTTTAGAATTTTTTAGTATCGCACGTTGATAAAAATAGTTGCCAATAAGAAAATGTAGTATTAAAAAGTTTATAAAAATTCGAAAACAATTCTTAGAGCTCTATGAGAAGAAACCAAACAAGTATTTTTGCCACTTACTGTTTTTCTATAAAGTTGATAGTAAAAATGAATAAAAAATTGAAAACCAATATTCAGCGATTTTTAGTAATTAATATTTTGTTAATTATTGCGAAAATTACAAAATAGTAGAGGACTTTTCGACTCAATTTAATTTGTTCTATCAGCACAAAATATTTGGCGATCATTCTGTGACATTCTATACATATATAATACTAGACTGCTAACTCGTTTGAAAGAGTAACCCCCAATTTTGACGTTACATTATACGCATGCGTCAAAAACTGTTCCGCGTAACGTACTTGCGCACACATACCTATTTTGACAGATATATTTTGACCTAATTTAACAGTATTAAAACTACATTTTATACTGAAGACAAAAAAAGTTAAACGAGACCGTTTATATTATATAATTTATAAATAAATTAAATTTTGCACATTAACTATGTGAGTTAACTGCTTTTTAATTTCTTTACAATTCTAGAAGGAATTGAATAGGATCGCACCTTTTATACACGTCTACTAATATTCAATTATCTTTACCTTTTTTCTTAAACTTTAAAAAAAAAACAATTTTTCACAAAATTAAGATTACATTTATGTACAGTACTAAGGATACGTGTATGTATAGCTGATGCAGAATGTCGCGGGACACTGCCATATTGCATTTCTTCGAGTTACTTTGTGACATAGAACCATCCTAACATTTCACATAAGCTTGTCCTAAGGAGTTAACAGTATAGTAGATAGTATATATAGAAGTCTGTGGTTACACCTCTTTTATATGCTTGTGGTGCACACATGCTGATTATTCAATTGCTATAAGCACATGAGACCTAGTTTTAATGCCACTTCCGAATGGCGGATTTTTCAAATGGTGATATTTCTGTAGGCAAGAATACTCTCGGGAGATTGTCGGCTTTTCTGAGAAGATACATGATATATACCAATATTTTGTAAATATTTTCTACTAGGATTAAACCTGGGGTGTCTGGTATGATAGATCAATGCGCACTGTCTGCCATGCCACATTTGGTCACCTTATCCTAAATATAAGATCCAACTTTCCAATTAATGAATGCCGCCTATCAGGAACTATAAGTCAGATGAGTTGAATAGGTAAAATAATATTATCTACTCTAAATTCAAACCGCTATGATCTGTGATCAATCAAAGAGGGGAGTAAAAGGCCTCAACGATTGAAAAGCTCTCAGAGGAGAGTATTAATCATAAAGAATTCTTTTTTTAAGCATCAAAGATTCAAAATATTTTTGTATATTCTTTATTTTATACGAGTTTTGTTTCAGAAATTATGAATCGTATTGCGTTCTATTTGTATTCTAATTATATAGTGACACATGCATCATTATTTCTCACAGGAATTTCTAAAAATCTGTCGCCATAGATTTAAAATAACTCATGTGATGATGGAAGCATCATATTACCTTGTATCTTACGTTGGCGTAGACGATGTATCAGAAAAAATAACAGACTTAGTGAAAATATTGCTGTTACAAAACTGGCAACCGATCGTAGACCTATATCATAATTTGCGTTTCCATCTATCGCGTTAGTCTCCGCTTCGTCAGCTTTCTCATTAGATATTGACGACAATGTGTCGTCCAGGCAAATAAACTCGCAGCAAGTGTTACCTCGCCGGAAAGACTTGCAATTCTCCTATTATACAAAAAGTAAATTTATTATATAAATCTTTAAACTGCTTTTCTTTATTTTACTACCAATTACAAGCAGTTTCATTACTTTTTAAAAGTAGTGTATCATTACTAACTTGAGTGCTACATTTTTTAACGAATCATCAACGAATATTAACTGTTTTTTTTAATAATAATACATTGATTTTTACTTTTAGTGGCACCAAAGTCACTCATTCATTTTAGATTTTGGAGAGTAGTTATTCGGTAAACTTTTAAATTAGCTATCCCCTTTCTGATCTCTTTAACACCTCATTTATCTCCATACATTTTCTAGCCGAGGTAATATTTTTTGCAATATTTACAGATTTTCACACAATTAAGTATTAAATTGAAATTTAAATTTAAATTATTGTAATTGTATGCCAATTTAATTTGTAGCATTACTGTAGTAGTTCAGTTAAGTTCGAAAAACCAATTCGGCGTGCGAAAGACTACAAATGTGATACATGAATTCATATGGAAGCATTTCATATTTAAAGCATTTAAGAGCTTTGACCGATATAGGCATTGTTTCCTACTTTTTTTATATACTTTTCAAAATGGCGACCTGAATGTTTAATCAATAAAAAATTCTTTCAGATTTGTATTCAGCGATGAAAAATACGAACCAAGTTTCGGAGAAGAGAAAGAGATTGGAGAAGAAGTGGCTAATCTAAAGTTTACCCCAAGGTTCTACAAGCTACATGCGAATTACTATCAGTCTTGAAACACATTATTAACCTTTAAGTAGGTAGATAATTATTATACTTTATGTAAAAATGATTGTACTTTGTTCTGGAAAAGGAAAATAAATAGAATTATCCAGAAATCTTAAAATTAATTATTTTACAATCCTCTATCTTATAATAATATAAATAATGTAAATTTACTCTATAAATGTACTACTAAAAAATATAATTGTAAGAATAAAATCTATTTAGGATGTTCTGAACATCCCAATTACCTACTTAAAGATTAAACTGAAGCTGGAATAATAATTCCTACATATTCTAATAGGTTTACTTGATTATTGGACTGTTGACATTACGTACCTCGAGAAATTTACAAATGAATGCTTTACACCACTTTGGATTGCCATTATCACAAACACAGAAGGTACATGGTTCAGGTCCAGGAATATAATGATAGCCACTTTCGTAAGAGTGTCCATGTTGATCTTTACAAGCAACTCCACCTTCTGCATGTACTACAAATATTAACCCATACTTGTTATCATCAAAAGAGAGAAAAAAGAAATAAAACGTAAGTAGCAAAAATTAGCATTTCCTTAATAAGATTATTTATTTATTAATCACTTTATACTTATTTCTTATGCTACTCTCTTTTTTTTTCTAAATCTCTGAAGATTTTGCTAATTATACAAATGAAATTATAATTTACTACATAAATTACCAGTTTTACTCCATTTTTTTTTTATTTGAAAGATTACTTTTACCTCGCGTCACTTTCTATACAATTTAATCTGGATTCAATTGGACTTAATTAAATAAAGTTAAATGTAACCCCAATATATATCTGAGAAAATATCACAGACACACACATGTACTTGGCGAGTTACACGCGCCAAGTTATATGCGTGTGGATGTTATATAGAAGCTGCCCCATTTTTCCTGACACTCCTGACAGCTCTTAAGCATTCGACTTTGAAGCGCGAGATACACGCGGGGCACAATATGCAACAGTGGCGGTGGTGGTGGTGATGATGATGGTGGTAGTGGTGGCGGCACCCTCGATGGGTAATCGATGGTGCTATAAAAATAAAAGACGCGACACGCGCGTTCCGTGGTAAATGAACTTACCCTTGAGGCGAGTGAGGGTGAAGGTGAGGACCGCGTAACTGAATAGGTTACCGCTGCTGCTGCGTCTCATTCTGCATCTGTTATCTCATCTTAGCTCTGACGTGTCTCCGTCCCGCAAGATCCTTCCTCCCAAATTCCCTCCTCGACGTTAGCGACGATGAGGGATCCCGTCTGATTTCGATTGGCGTCACACGACGGAATATCGTATCGTCGCGTGTGGACCAGATCGACAATCTCGTCGCATCCTCAACTGCAACTGATCTCAACACTGACACTCAACTCAACATCGCAAACACGACGGACACGACGGATACGACCATGGGCATGGACATGGATGGGCACGACCCGCACGATCGCCACCGCGGGGAAATTGGCGCGCGCGCGCGCTGCAATCAGAACTGGCACTACTGGCAGTGGCTGGCCTCGCTGCCTAGCAACTACCAATGTAACCATGCTCCTCGCGCCATTATTAACATTGTGATTGACATACAGCCGCGCTGAATTCGATTCGCGTCACGAATCATCCCTTTTACGTTTTCAATTGCACCACATATGATCTTCAACAATCTTGAACGATTCCACCAGATTCCACAGAATCAACTCCCAAAATGACCGATTAATAAATAGATCGGCCGTCGTAATACCGCAGTCTGTACTCTGTAAATCTACACTAGTTTGCTCACGCTGCGAGCTGCGAGCTGCGAGTGAAATCAGAAATGTTACAGCGACAGTGACGTCACCTTTAAGAGTTGGGAAACCGTGGAACGGTTTATATATCTATTTTACAGACTCGTGGTTTTAAAGCAATTTACTTTATCTACTGATGATGATTTCTTTCGATGGTACTAGACTCGAGAAGAGTCTAGAGTCCTAGATTAATAGATTTATCAGAGAAGTGCAACCGATTTATGTCAACCTGACCTTCCACCGAGTTTCCACCGAGGATTTAATCCGAATCAGAATGTAAGAACCAACCAATTACACTCGAGCCCCTGTCGTCGACTGTAAAGCGGAGTTCTTGACGGAAAAGCGGAAACCAATCGGAACTCACAGTAATAGTAGGCGGTACATTTCGCTTGTCTGCTTCTGTCTTTCCGCGAGTTCTGATTGGCTTCCGCTTTCCTGCTTTCCGTTTTTCCGTTAAGGTGTGAACCCGGCCTAACAGGGAAATACTTGACTGTAGTTGGTTGATTCTTATATTCTGATTTGGTTTAAACCCTTGATGGAAACTATCGCAAAAATACTAAAAAGTACTAGAAAAAGTATTAAAAATGGCGTTGTTTGCAAGAGACTCATATTCAGAACGTGCTTACAATGAATTAGTGCGCTAACATGCTATAATTTACGTAACGCATACTATAGAATTTTAGAGATAAAAAGCGCTTTATCGATAAAAGCCAAAGTCTCTAGAAAAACAGAGTCTGGGTAACTATCTATACATTTTCGATTGGCTAATGTTAGCTTGCCCTCACTATGGCAGCACGAATCACAATGTAAGGAAATGGCTCGTTTATTGAAAAACTTATAGGCTGTGGTCAAAGATTCGCTATAAATGCTTTGAAGCATTTGACGGATCAATTAGAAGAAAGAATTTTACAAACTGACCAATTAAAAAACACTTCAAAGCGTTTGTAGCATCGCGTTGACTGTACCCGTAGACGTGAAATAACGCAAAACATTCTTGATTGATGTATTTCATATTATGACCACGTTCCAAAACTTCCTCTCCGAGGAAAATTTTACTCGAAATATATAGTACACATAACGCATACTATAACAAATAGAATAAAATCTTTCTCGGAGAGGAAGTTTTGGAACGTAGTCTATAATCATGAGGAAATGTTGTAATGTTATAAAGAAATAATATAATTATGAATAAATATAATTTGTTTAATAAAAATATAAAATTTCAAATGAAAACGTAGCTCAAATAACAATAAGCCAGTATCAAATGTGTTCCGCACACACCTTTGCAAAGAAAGGGCGCCAGTGGGAGAGTAAATACAATAAATACAAAATGTGTAATTAAAACAAAAAACTAGGCAGGCTTAAGCGGGGAACACAGACTCTTGCATAATGCACGTGTTCGTCTATTTCTTATGGCTTAAGGCTTAGAATTCTATTATAGATTCGGGGTAAAACGCGTGAGCGTCCAAATCGACCGCAGTCGAAAAGATACCTTAAAATGCATTTACATGCAAGAGTCAAGTATCGCCCAGCTGATTAGTTGCTGCTGATTGCTGCTTCCGCTGCTTGAGGCCGGGCTCACACCTTGATGGAAAAGCGAAAGCTAATTAGAACTCGCGAAAGACAGAAGTAGACAAGCGAAATGTACCGCCTACTACTACTGCGAGTTCCGATTGGTTTCCGCTTTTCCGCTTTTCACTTTTCTGCCAAGATGTAAACCCGGCCTGACTCTTGACGCTTGCATGTAAATGCACCTTTAGTCTGCTGAACGCAACCATTTTGTACGATGTCAAGTGTTGTCTATAGTTCGTTGTGTCCTAGAATAGTGAAGGGAAAGCGGGACGCCTTCATCTTTATATTGAAGATCAAGAAATGGAGTAAAGCGTAGTCAACTTAAAGCTGAAACAAGCGTTATCAGGTTATTCAACGACACTTGTTACAAATAAACTTTGTAAATAATGTTTATTGAATTACCCTGTATATTTTTTCAGTACGATAGAACGAAACCGCGAAACTTTGTTTTATTATTTCTCGTGAAATTCAGTGATAAAATGATCGTGAATCTTGAGGAACGACTACGTATTCGGCATTTTTCTCATACAAATAATTCGTTTATCTTTTCTTTTTTCTAGCATACAAAATGCATTCACGCTGCAATCAATACGTAATACTAGATTTATTCGTGTTGCTTAAAATCCTCCAAAATTTTTGTACTTAAAACGAGATGAATACACACACACACACACACACACACACACACACACACATATTGTTGATTGTTGAAAAGAAACAAAGATGCTGAATTTTTTAAGTACAAACAACACGAATAGACTCATTGTAGCAAATGGAAATGAATTTTCATTTTTTTAATATTATATTAGGTTATGTTATCTATGCCTCTAGTATCAATTGTAATTGTCAAGTTATTATGTCAAGTTATTTTTAATTCAAACTAGTTTTTGCATACATATGTGAATGGAATACCTAATTAATGGTCGTGCGCTCGCGCGCGTGTGTGTGTGTGTGTGTTTGTATATATTATATAGTCATGCAATTTAGTAATCATACAATTGTAGTTCTAAGAAAGATATAAGGATTGCTTATATTTCTTTTTAAAGAGTGCTAGAAAAGATGGCACAAAGATTTCCTGTGCCAAATGCAGGAAGTAATGGACCACCACCTCAGCGATATCCACAATCCTCGGTACCACCAAATTTGCGCCAGTACTCTGGGCCAAATTTTCCAGTAAATATATTTTTTTAATTTCGATGCATAATCAGTATAATATTGATTGTAATATTTGGATATGATATAAATTGATATTTTGTGTTTTTATTTAATCTTTGGATGACGGTAGCTAAGTCATTTAGGATTTGATGGGTATTTAGCTTTTATTTATACATCTTCTTTCTTTATATCAGAAAAATCTAAATCAAAATTGTTACTTTTTTTACTGTCATTTTATATATATATATATATATATATATATATATATGGAGCTACTTTTTGATTAAACAATCGAGTACAGAGAATGACTCAGCCATAATTTTCCAAATAATCTATCCTTTGATTAATTATATATTATATATTATACAACAATTACAATCTGCAAATTATATATTTTTTTATTAATATTATATAATTGTGTCTGGATGACATGTATGAGTTTCTATTGCAGATGCAACAGAGATCTGGATTTACTCCGCCACCACAAATGGGTAATGCTGGGCCTGGCCCAGGTGGAATAATGAGACCAAACCAACCTTACTCAAATATGCGTCAGGGTCCAATGCCCACGCCACCTGTTGGAAAAAGAAGCGCGGATCAACGTATTCCTATGTCTCAGCAAAAACCGTAAGTATAATCTGGAGAAATTTAAACTTAAGACAAACGCTTTATATTTATCTTGTGTGTAAATTGTGTATTTCTTTGTTAATTAGATATTATATTTTAATAATTGGCTACTTTCTATTTTTTATTCATCCTTACTCTTGCATGTTTATCCTTTTATTTTTTCGTACATATAACTTGTATATGTATTATTATTCCTACTTATAACTTGATATTTCCAGTCTAAATACTTTTTGTTTATATTATTTGAAATCAAAATTTTGTTAGAGATTTAACCACTGCAACTCACGGCTTACAGAATTATTTATAATTTCTGTGTCTATGGTTTTCGAATAAACTCATTTAGGTATTTTTGGAACAGTGATTTTTCACATTCCACATCAAAGAAAAAGAAGAAATTGGCAGACAAAATATTACCTCAAAAAGTGCGTGATTTGGTACCAGAGTCGCAAGCTTATATGGACTTACTGGCATTCGAAAGAAAGTTGGATGCAACTATAATGCGAAAACGTCTCGATATTCAAGAAGCTTTGAAGCGTCCAATGAAGCAGAAGCGAAAATTACGTATTTTTATCTCAAACACATTTTATCCGGCTAAAGAGGCAGGTGAAGGAGAAGAGGGATCTGTAGCATCTTGGGAACTTAGAGTAGAAGGACGTCTTTTAGATGATACTAAAAATGATCCCAATAAGGTATAATAGTAGGACGGAATAAGAAATATAGTTACGTTATTAATAAACAAGTAAATAAATATGTAGTCCAATTGTATTGTAAGTATTTCATTTATAAATATATATACATATATATATATATATTCAACAATAACTATATTAATTTCGCAGGTAAAACGAAAGTTTTCATCTTTCTTCAAAAGTTTGGTAATAGAATTGGACAAAGATCTCTATGGTCCTGATAATCATTTGGTCGAGTGGCATCGTACGTTGACTACTCAGGAAACCGATGGATTTCAAGTTAAAAGACCAGGTGACAAGAACGTTCGCTGTACAATCCTTCTTCTTCTTGATTATCAACCACTACAGGTAATCCTTTTACGTAAATTAAAATAATTGTTACACAAATATTTTATCACAATTGATTTAGTCTATTTGTATTAATCTTAAATTTAATTTCTATTAATTACATTCCAGTTTAAATTGGACCCAAGATTAGCGCGATTACTAGGCGTACATACGCAAACGCGACCCGTCATCATATCCGCGCTTTGGCAATATATAAAAACGCACAAGCTCCAAGACAGTCACGAGAGAGAATTTATTAACTGTGATAAATACTTGGAACAGATATTTGCCTGCCCGCGAATGAAATTCGCTGAGATACCACAACGACTGAATCCATTATTGCATCCACCTGATCCCATTGTGATAAATCATGTTATAAGCGTAGAAGGTGCAATTTTTATCTTGAATAAATATTGTTTTAGAGGCGACTTTATAAGTGAATGATATATATTGCATTGCAATTACTTACTTTATAGCTCATTATGAATATCTGATATAAAAATTTATATTATTCAGGTACGGAAACAAAACAAACCGCGTGTTATGACATCGATGTAGAAGTAGACGATACATTGAAAACGCAAATGAATAATTTCTTGCTATCGACTGCAAGCCAGCAGGAAATCCAGAGTCTGGATAATAAGATTCACGAAACCGTTGAGACAATTAATCAGTTGAAGACCAATCGTGAGTTCTTCCTGAGTTTCGCTAAAGATCCGCAACAGTTTATCAATAAGTGGATCATCTCTCAGACTAGAGATTTGAAGACCATGACCGACGTTGTTGGGAATCCGGAAGAAGAACGGAGAGCTGAATTTTACTATCAGCCTTGGGCACAGGAAGCCGTGTGTCGTTACTTTTATACAAAAGTGCAACAAAAACGAGCAGAGTTGGAACAAGCATTGGGTATCAGGAACTCATAAAATTATTATTAAAAATTCTATATTTGACCATTTTATCATAAAGCTATGTAAGATATTCGTAAATGTTCGCTTTTATAATTATTACATGTAACGCTATTGTGGTTTATCTTTCAAAACATATTTGTAACATTAATGTAGATTATGCGAAAGGATTACATTATGCAAAAAAAATTTTACGCTTATGTGAAAATAAAAATGTAACGAGATATTGCTGTTTCTACTGTAGTTACGTAACAATCACATTTACAATCAAATTTCAAAATTCAAATATCGGACTATATAAATTGAAGAAAGGATCAATAGAAAATGCATAGTTTTTCTTCAAAATATCTTGTACAATGTATGTTCTTTTAACGCATGATCTTTTATTATAATAGTAATGTATTATATGATCACAAAAATTAATTTTTGCATTTGTAGAGTATGTAAAATAATCATATTAGAAATTCAGTTTTTATGATAATTTATTTCTTCTTACTGCAACGGGATATCTCTTATATAAATAAGGATAATTACATGTCATTTACCATGCCGTTGTACACATTTGTTATACTTCTCCAACAGACACGTGAAATCTTTCACTGGAATATTAACGTACAGCGGCAGCATTCTGGAAAAAATTAAATTGTTAGTTTTAAAAAATAAGATTTTTTTACAAAATATTTTTGCAGATATTTCTTATGAACTTACAAAAATTCTGTCGTTCTTGTGTGCCATGGTAATACACCATGCGTGGAACAAGAGTAATCACGTATTAAAGCAAGATCGGGATCAGGCATCCCTTTTATTTGTAATTCTTCGGTGATTCGTTCAATCGTAATTTTTTCCTGATCAAGATTCCCCGAAGACACCATTTTTGCTAATGACTGCGTTAATGTTGCTATTTTTCCTTTATTGTCTACATCCGATAGTAATGATACATTTATTTTTGACTTGCCTTCTGTAATTAAAGCATGCAGTCGCACAATTAGAAATACTTCTCAGAGTTGGGAATGTTATGTCAAAAAAGTAACACGTTATTCGTTTATCTTTAGTTATTTTTCGCGATTGTTGAGTTTAGTCCGAAATTGATGAAATTAGACTCATTCAATACACTTCGACGAGTTTTTGTACAAAACGACCAAATGTGTTGTCAGAAATCGTTACTCTGTCGCGCGAATCGAGATATTAATCGTTAAATTTGATCACTATTCAAGAACTATTATTACTTATTCTAATACCTATTCTATTTATTAGAAACTTATTGATGTTGTAGGACATAATGTACCAATTATTTTACAAAATTCTATAATTCGTTTATTAAAATTAAATCTTCTTTTTAAAAAATATAAATTTAGCCAAATAATCTATTAATGTGATTTTTTTGTATCAAATCTTGAGATTATTTGAATGAAATTCATGCCCAAATTCTTAAACAACACATCATGGTCATATTGCTTTTCAGTCAGTGGACAGATTTAGTGGGACAGATTTGCTAATCTGAATAATCAACTTTAATGATTAATATCTCGATTTGCGGAACAGAGCGATGTTTGTTTCTGCCAAATTTGGTCGTTTTGTACAAAAACGTCAAATGTGCCTAATTTTATTCAATATCACACGTGAGGGAGTTAAACTTGATCGAATTTAAATATCAAATTTAAATTAAACATTGTTTTTAAACATTAATATCGTTAATAAAAATATATTTTAAGATCACTTCTAGTACTAAAAATCTATAGTAATATCCTATATGTAATCTGAATTATAGATTTTCAATACTGATAGTAACTATCGGAATGCAGTCTAAGATATAAAATATAAAATAAAAATTTGAATATTATAATTCCCTAACTTACTAAAAGTAATAATAAAAGAAATAAAAGGGCTCGAGAGAATAGGTGCTAGGCTTCAAGGTGCGTTAGTTCAAGAAAAATTTCTCAATATGCAAATTAAATTTATTAAAGAGACCATAAAACGTAGATAATAGACGTATAATAGACGCGATAATAGAAAAATTACATACTTAATGCTCGTTGTCTACGCATACATACTTCTATTATCGCTAAAGAAGATTAGAAGATTAATCGAAACGTACGAGATAATTATAGTCCAACGATTTTTGTTTGTTTTACAGTCTCTTCAATAAATTTAATTTGTATATTAAGAGATTTTTCTTGAACAAGCGCATCTTGAACAGCACTCTCGAGTTTTTATTTCTTTTATTAATAAAATATAAAATATTTTTTAAGAAATAAAAATGAGAAAATAAACATTTTATAATTATATTTGTTGCATACAATAACTTAAATTGTAAATATATATTTGCATATTTGCACAAGCATTTAAAAAAATTTAAGTACACTTCTGGGGGCACTATAAAGTAAAACATTTTTCAGCGCTAGTAAATAGGAAAATAATATCCAAATATCCGCCTATCCAATAAATCTAAAGTAAAAGTAATGGCTGAATCGATATCGTTGCTGTAAAAATATAACGACGTTATCATTACAGGCAGAAAAAAGTAACGATTGTTATCGGAAAAAAGTAATGGCATTATTATATTTGGATTGATTACTGTTCCGCATGCTACAATCGCTACATAAACGTTCTAGCTAATAATGGTGAAGTCCCATGAGGCATATTAACATTATTAATCCATCGCAATGCTTCGTGCTAATTAGAGGCATCAATAATCATTATTGATGCTACTATTTGAGTATTTGCTATTTATCGTAGAACGCTCTTAAGGTTATTGAAGTATGGAAAAACAGAAAATAGTATACTCTACCAATTACTCCATTTTGATGTGTCTTTGCATGTGGATTCCAAGTAATACACTCTATTAGATCAGGTCGTTTTCTCGCGAATTCTTCTTTAAGAATAAATTCATTTTTCTTCAAGAAACCTAAAAAACAATATAAATCGGAAACTGCAATTCGTATAACTGTTTGTTATTGTTCTTAAATTGAAAGATGTCATTTCTCATAAATTATAATACAGTGTACGTTTTTTTTTGTACGATGTTAATAATTTATTTATATAGGATCTATCGAATATGGATACAGTCGGATATCTAAAAAATAAATACAGTTTAAAAAAAAAGATTTAGACAAAATTTGTAAAGCTTAAAAAGATGCATTGGATAATAATATCCATCTGATCTTAGGTGGAGTTGTTCAAAATTAAATCAAGATCAAATTAATTTTTTGAAATAGAAACCCTCATTTTTCCTTGCATATTTTTGTAGCTTATCTTAAGAGTTTTATATTTTATATAAAATTTTATTAAATTTCATTTAAAATTTATAACCTATTCTTAAAAGAACGTGTATTCATATTATACACAATTGCTCTAAGATATTGCATTGGATAACAAAAAATAATATTTAGTCCATCTCTCTTATATTCAAGATCATCTTTAGTTTGATCATAAATAACCTGAATACAAGAGTAATCATCATAACCATCATAAGTTATAATAATAATAATAATAATAATAATAATCTTTATATCCTAACAACAAGAAAATGAAGCTCAGTCACAATAATAATCTTCTTTACTTGTGATCAGAAATCTATACTTATTTTTTTAATTTTCTTTATGCATTTCTAGAAAGAGATAAGTAATTATTATTATTAAATTGTAGAACAATAAAGCATGCAATAATGTAATTAAATCTCTAATAAAAAAATTCTTTATATGTTTATTTTTATAAAACTTATAAACAATCAAATTGGAATCGGTTTGCCATATTCAATTAGTAATCATTTTATGATCAATGTGTCGTTTCCATAGTGATGGCCTAGTTTACATCGTGCATTGATACAAGTACTAAATGGTAATCCTACAGCATAAAATTGCACAAAAGTTGCAACACTGCATGTTGCAGCAATATTGCAAAGATTGTTGCAAATTCTGTGCTGTGGGAATTTTCTATCATTAAATTATCTTAATTTCAGTAATACGCGTAAGCATATACATGATATTGTATTTAATTAATTAATATATTTATTTAATTATATTAAATGTATTTAATTAATTATTTTGATACATATTGTATGAATTTAGTAAATCATTCTGCAAATACATTACTGAAATTAAGATAATTTAATGAAAAGTTACTTGTTAATACGTATATTAAAAGGTTATTTGATGTAAAAGGAATCAGTTAGGACCTTAACAGAAAACTGATTTATAATAGGCTTTCTACAATAAGCCATAACAATTAGTCATAAATCAGAAGTCAGAAATTAAAAAAAATTGACTAATCACAGTCGTCAATTTTTAGCTTTTGACTTCTAATTTACAACTAATAACTTATTGTAGAAGGCCCAAAGACAGTGTCTTATGACTTAAGTCTTATGTCTAGATTTTATCTGTATTCCTCTATAAAACCGGCGCGCGTGTACTTCCAGAGATTGTACGCGCGTTTTTAATGAGAAATTTAAAAACAAATTACGAATATCAGTTAAAGTTATCGAAATGCGATAATGTTTTACCACGTCGATTTTACACGACTTTACAAGTATACTTATTAAATTCGCGATGTAAACACGCGCGCGCGCTAAACAATACAATTTTTAATTTCCGATTATTTTTCAGATGACATATTCTCTATAATTAATACACATCTTATTCGTACATATAATTTTAAGAAACATACAGTCTATTTTATTCTTTATGAATTGTTAATTATCCAACAAGAAATGATCATCAATTAAACGTCGAATCGATGTTGAAATCAAATTAATGTTGAAATCATCGTATCGATATCGTTTCGACTATCAGTTCGATGATTCATTTCTTGCTGGATAATATTTATTTTTTTAAAATTAAGTTTTTTTAAAAACATTTTTCTCTGTACGAATACTTTTTTCATTCACTGTATATACAATCACAAAACTAATTGTCTGGATACAGATATTGCAAGTTTATTTTTCGGTACAGTATCACCAAATAATATTGTATAATTTTTAAAGAAAGCTCAATATATTATTTAATTAATAAACTCAATATATTATTTAATATTATATTTTCTTCAATGTTATTTCTGTCCGATCAATTAATTTCGCAATTATTTTATAGTTTTGTTGATTAATCTTTATTCAGAGAAAATATTTACGGAGGCACTGGAGAAGATTGAAAAGAACAAAGTGAACAAGAACTGGATTAACAACATCCGCTATGCAGATGATGCAGTATTGATCGCTCATATGACATGAACAACCTCCAACAACTTCTTAACATTGCTGTGGAAAATCACAAACATAGCAAAAACATAAAAAACAAAAAAAATTCATGATTATCAGCCGTGAATTGGACGCATACAAGAATGCCTAACGTTCGAAAACTCAGTAGAACGAGTAGCTAAATTTAAATATCTTGAAACATGACTAAGTGAAAATTGGTCATCAGATTTAGAAATAAAATATCGAATAGAAATCGCCCGAGAGGCATTTATAAGACTCAGAAGAGTCTTTACCAATATACCGAACTTTACAAATATTACCGAACTTCGATCTCGATCTTAGAATGAGATTCATTAAATGCTACGTCTGGTCAGTATTACTATGAAATGGATGAAATGGAGGGCTGGACATTAAAAGTATCTACAATGAATAGAATAGAGGCTTTTGAAATGTGGCTCTTACATAGAATCTTGAAGATAAAATGAACAGAAAGAATATCCAACAACGAAGTATTAAAACGTTTAAACAAATATAGAGAGATACTGATTACAATATAGAGGAGAAAGGCTGCATATCTGAGGCATATCATACGTAACACAATATAGGTACCAGTTATTACAATTAATTATTGAGAGGAAGATTGAGAATAGAAGAGGGATAGGAACGAAAGAAGTTATCATGGCTCCGAAATATAAGACCTTGGACCGGACTAACCATCGTGGAAGAGCTGATACACACGGCAAGGGACGAGAAGAGAATGAAAAATATGGTCGCGAACATGTATTACTGAATATGCATAAAAAGAAGTTGATTAAGTCTACACATATTACTTTCACGCGTAGACAAGATACAGATTACTAAAGCCATCTATTGGAAAAATAATGGATTTCTTTTTACTACACCTAATATATCTAAAAATAGAATTTTGACTAATATTGGAGATGAAAATAAATCACTGGAGAGTTCTCACTTCTAAATGTTATTATTCTTTAAAAATTATATTAGGTGTTGGAATTAATTCGTAGCGTTTTACAAGTGATGGGAAGTACTTTCATTAATGTATTTTTTAATGCTCATGTGAAATAAATAACATTCTTTCATTAAAAACGCTACGAATTAATTCCAACACCTAATATTATTTGATGATACTGTATCAAAAAATAAACTTGCAATATCTGTATCCGGACAATTAGTTTTGTGACTGTATATAGAGGAAAGGGGAGTAAGATGATAACCTTAAGATTCGTTGATTTTGCGTAATTTCTGTCAGGTAAAGATTTATTTATTTTTTCAAATTCACTACAGTCTTAATGATAATTTTTTTAAATAAAAAAGTTGTTACATAAATTAGAATTTTTTTCAAATTAAATTTTTCAAGGACATGTCAATTTTATCTTTTTTGTTCCCATATGTGATTAATAAGAGATAAGATGACATTGAAGAGTTAATTTTAATTACAAATGAATTTGTAATGAACAGAAAAAGATTCTGAAGATCTTCAGAAAGATTACGATACGTGCATATATTTCAATATATTACGAGTTTTCAAGAAAAATATGAATAAAATGAATGAATATTTATAAATTTTATAAATAAAAACTTAATTGATGTGTTTTCGCGTAAAAATAAAGATTTCACAAGAAAAAAGTGTTGCTCTGCCTTATGACTACCAAGATATTAATCATTGATTTTAGTCGATTAATATCTCAGATTTCCTGTTACAGAAGATTTACTGCTTTTATTGCTCTAAAAAACAAATTCACTGCTTTAGCAGAGAATTTATGTTTTTAAAGCAGTGAATCATTACTGTGAGATTTCTTAATGTGAATAATATGACACACAACTTTTCTTACATATTTAATAATACTTTATTTAAAAAATGATAAACTTGATGAATTGTATATAATAAAATTTACTTACAAATAATCAATATCAATGAATTAATAATTAATTTTTAACCATTTGAGTCACGCCTAAGTTTGGTACGCATTACGCAGTCAAGTTTAGATGACTAGGTACAACATTCGTTATCTTATCCACGATTATCATATATTTTTATGTAATTAATAAAGCTATTGCAATATGAAAAATAAAAAATATTAACGCGTTACTTTATTCGCTTTTAGTTACACTATATTGCGATTATATTAAAAAAATAAAAATATTTACTATACTGTGTCATTCCTTATACACAAATACTACAAAATTATGTGAATGCTTGAAAAACACATTTCTTAATATAGTATCTATTTTTGTGGTTGTATTGAATTCAAACTATAATAGATTATGTATTATTACCTAAAACTTTTAATGAGTTAAGCATCTGCTCTTCATTAATTCACTCTTCGTAACAATTCGTTATCTTACTTAGTTACCTTACTCCCCTTTCCCTTATATATAATATACACATAAAACAGTCGCTTTCTTTTCTCTTTTGAATTTCATTTCGCGTAATATGATTTCACGTAATATAAATATAGTAATATTAATTCAAATCATATTTTATTACCATTACTATCAAAGAAGCTGATGTAAGATATATCAAGTGAAATGCACCATTCAATTATACGCACACAGTCCAGAACAGATTCGTCACATAATCTGAGATGTCCGAATATGATCATCAGGTGCCTGGGTATCTTGTTCGTTAAACTGTTAAACTTGTCGAGCTCCGCCGTCGTGTTCGCGCACCAGGAATACATGCATCTTCGATACACCGCATTGCACGCGTCGCAGATCGCATTGTACAACTTACATAAGAAATGTACGAGCACTAACAGTGTAGAGAGAAACGCATCCATATTACTGCACCTCCGCTGCCGCGTCTACATCACACAGCATCGGACGTAAACTGACGTGAATTCAAACACTTGGCTATATATAAAGTCACAACTTGCTACGCCTACAAGAATGTAAACAATGCAATGTAGAGAGCCTATAATAAGAGTCGCTAACATGACACGTGACTTGAATAACGCGCTGATTGGCTTGGTGCGGAATCGATATATAGTCTATCTTCAGGAAAGGTTAGCTGTTATCAGCTGTTGAAAATAAAATAGTGCATTAATCGTAGTGAATTTCATTTCTCTTCCTTTGGTAAGTATTTCCATATTTAATCGTTTAAACCTTAAAATAGTGTCAATATTAATTTTTGCTTTACATTTTTGGTAGAATAATGTATTACAAAAATTAAAAAGGACTCGGAGAAAAAATGTTTCATATATAATTATATATTGTAAAATTATATAAAATTACATGCAATTACATATAATTATACATAAACATAGATATATCATATATATAAATATATATATAAAATACATCCATATATATAACATTTTTTTCCAGGGAGATTATAAAACTCAAAATATCTCTTCTTCGCAGAAATAATAATCAGATATGTACTGTGCAGCTTATTGTTTGTATTGTAACAACAGTTACAAAAAAGGTTTTATCTTGCTCAGAAAAGACTTTCCCAAAGATCCTATATTAAGAGAAAAGTGGCGTATTATTGGAAGGGAAGAGAATTGAAAAGTAACGTCAAATCACTGATTATGCAAGATAAAATGTTTTTTCTTAGTGAGATATACATAGCTTCATTTATAAAGTAAAGTATTAAATACAAATATTAATTATGTGATTGCAGAAACACTTTAAACCCAATGACTGGATCGTTTATAGAAGGTGCATCAAGAAAGATGCTGTTCCAACCTGTTTTTTTTTTGTAACAATGTCACATCAATGTCGGAGACTTTGATTCGTCAACCTCTAACAGGTCTAAATCAGAATTACTTTGAATACAAATATTTCTGATGTAATGTAAAGTTCTATCAACATACTCGTGATTGCTCCATTCATTAAGAATTTATATTTTCTCACAATAATGTCAATATTGTTGTTACAATACCAACAATAAGCATAGTACAGCATATCTGATTATTATTTCTGCAAAGAAGAGATATTTTGAGCTTTATAACCTCCCTAGGAAAAAATGTTATATATGTGGACATATTTTATATATATATATATGTATATATATATATATATATATATTTATATATAAAATATATCTATGTTTATATATAATTATATGTAATTTTATATAATTTTACAATATACAATTATATATAAAATATTTTTTCCCCGAATCCTTTTTAATTTTTGTAATACATTATTCTACCAAAAATGTAAAGCAAAAATTAATATTGACACTATTTTAAGATTTACACGATTAAATATGGAAACACCAAAGAAAGAGAAATGAAATTCACTACGATTAATGCACTATTTTATTTTCAACAGCTGATAACAGCTAACCTTTCCTGAAGATAGACTATATATCGATTCCGCACCAAGCCAATCAGCGCGCGATTCGAGTCATGTATCATGTTGGTAACTCTCTTATTATAGGCTCTCTAATTCAATGTCATGTGGTCTCTTTTCTGTTCCTGCACTAGACTGCTCTAGAACTCTTTTACTTGCTTTCGACAAATGTCAAACATATCTATCTCACATTAAGTTCTAAAAATGTAGAACACTAATTCAATTCAGCCACCGAAAAAGGGATCTATGATGTAATCAAAAGTCATGTAAGAATACAAGTGGGATATGGAAAATTATCGATAGCCTAACTTTAATTGGATATATCGATAATCTCCTTTTGCTATTGATAGTCATATGATAGTCGCGCAAAATATAGCATAAATATTGGTTATCTATGTTTTTCGTTCTCCAGAAGTCTTTATGGGATTACTAGTCCTAGCAAATTATTTAAAACTAAATATGTTTAATACTTCCACCAGAGAGCAACCTGAGAGAGGACATGACAGCCCTATAACCGCAAAATGCTGCCGCGCACTACTGCCCTCTGACAAAGTGGATATAAATTACATAGCAACGTCTACTTTTCTTAGGATACATCGTCCATTTTTCTGGTCTGGAAACGATAAATCGATATTTGATTTATATAATCGTGCTACATGTACTACATTGTGCTACCAAATATCGATTTATCATTTCCAGTCTTGAAAAATGGACGATGTACCCTAAGAAAAGTAGATGTTGCTATGTAGTTTACATCCACTTTGTCAGAGAGCAGTAGTGCGCGGCAGCATTTTGCGGTTACAAGGAATCGATTCTATATCTTGAAACAAAATGAAAATGACAAAAGTGAGCGAATTTACTAGAATATTGATAATTTCATTAATTAACACCTAATAAATTTGCTCACTTTTGTAATTTTCACCTTGTTTGAAGATACAGAATCGACTGCCAGTTTTGGGCTGTCATGTCCTCTCTCAGATTTCTCTCTGTAATATATAAAATCCAATAGAATTTATTCAAATTTTTGGCGGTTTTAGCCTATAACGTAATATTAAATAATAATAATTTAAAAAATTCTAATAGGACTATATCGATATGTTATTTAAAAAAAAAACTATCGCTTAATCGATAGTAACAATACCACTATCGATAACTTTCCATCTTTAATGTGAAAGCAGCCTCAAGTTGTCTCACCTGTTTTCTTCCACTATGGTGTATTGTATGGACTGGTGGATGTCTGCTTGCGATTTGCGATTTGCAACACAGTGTAGATCGCCTTAACTTTGACGTCTGACGGGATACGGGATCCGTTTATTTCTTTCTTAAGAGATAAAATAAGCAGACAATGGCACGGCTTGTTTCAAAATCGACCGAATTGGTAAAACGTATGGATGATATTTTAAATATTCGTTATATATTTATCATATAATTATTTCAAGCAAGAACTTGCAATTCGTGCACCACGTATTATGTAACATTTCGTATTAAATTTTCGTAAAATAGTTACATACGTAAACCTAACGCAATAAAATTTCTTTTTTTTTGTTGATCTTTGTATTAAATGTCTTGTTAAATCGCTGAATCCTGTCTGGCAATCAAATTTTATACTATATTGAGGTTATGTTTTTTACAACAAATCAAGATTGAACAAGTATAAAATGTTTGATCATGAGGTTAATCATGTAACATTTTCCCTGACACGTGAAAATTTTTATGTATGTAATTATATCATAAAATAAATTTCCACTTTTTATATTTCTGCTCTAGGGAAAAAGTTACATGAGGAAAAGTTATACCTCCAGAAGGATAAGCTACGATTAATCCTAAATCCACATGAAACAATTTAAAAAAGAACGTTAAGTTAGGGATATTTTTCGGCTATAATGAAACAATTCCAGATATACAAATTATATATCATAATTTAAAATGCTCCTTTCTTTAGCTGTGTTCCGAATTTTATATTACATACATCATAGATTTTCAATATTGGCAGTCAATTTCGAACACAGTCTTTGAGAATGAATTTTGAAAAATATAAATATAAGAACACGAATATATTTTTCAAAATTATTGAAAACTTACCTAACTCTTTCACAAAAAATATTTCATGTCTCATATTGCAAAAATTAAAGAAATTCATCTAATATTTCTGTAATATACGTGTATGTAGCAAAAGATAATAACAAATTTTAAGTAAATTAAAATTCAAGTAAATTAAAATTTCTTGTTAATTTATATTATTTATAATGATGATGACAAGAAAAGGTAATGTACTTAAAATTTGTTATCTTTTGCTACAAAAAATGTAAACTTACTTTTACTATAACTTGATTATTTGTATCACATACATATGCGCGCGCGCGTGTATGTGTATGTATGTAGAGATTTAAAGAATTAAATAAAACTAAATAATATATATGAATTGCAGTTGGTATTAATCACGCAAAGCCTGTACTGCAAGTATGGTTGCAGTATGCCAAAGTAGAACTGACGCCACCCACTCTAAAAGACGTTTCTGCAATTCGTAGTGGATTTTCACAGTTGATCCATTCTGCACGGACCGGACGTTATCGTGATGTTACCGTGCGTGAAGGTATCATAAATACCTTAGTAGCTATTGAAATATATTGCTGGTTCTTTGTTGGAGAATGTATCGGAAAGCGACATATTGTTGGATATGATGTATAAGTACATGTATCATTTTATACAGAATCCTGTATAAATTAGACTTACTCGTAAATATATAAAAATATAAATGAAACATTTCTTTCAACAAATATTACAATATAATAATATTATAATACATCTTTTGTTTTGTTGAAAATACATTTATTTAATAACGTTATCTTATATCTTATAAATGTAGGAAAATTATTTTAATATATGTTGGTTCGCATATTGCCATATGCAAATTGCAGCAGTAACATGAACATTTAACGATCGTGTTACACCAACTTGAGGTATTTCTACACATTTGTCAAAAAGTGGTATGAAATTAGCTGGTATACCATCCTTCTCATTTCTACAAAATAGTTTTTAATTATATTCTCAAGACTTTAAAGTTTTCATGAGTCGAAATTTAATTACCCTAAAACAAGAATGGTCCTTTTCTCGAATGTTGTTGTCATCAAATTTGTACTATTGACTGTTTGTTCTACCCCAATTAAAGACCATCCTGTATTCTTCCTGTCTAACAAGAATTTCTGCAATTCATATGGCTTTACCTAAGGATTTCAAAATATTGTAGCGTTTTTCTGAGAAATCTGAATCAATAAACTTGAAATAAAGAATTTTCAAAGAAGTAAATATTCCAAAATTTAAATATTTTCAAATCGTCTTTAAAGCTCATATTCATTCACTATTACTATCTCAGTCAGGGGATTGATTATATATCTTGAAATGAGGTGAAATTACATAAAAATGAAAATAAGAGGAACAATCTTCAATGGCCTTGACAAATGTTTATCCGAACAATATTCACATTATGACGAAGTCATGATCCTAAACAACATTCAAGATTTTTTTAACCGTTGGTCGGATACCTCGGGTAATGCTAATACCGGCGATACTAAATCTGATAACTCTCAATAAGTATAATACTAGTTAAAAAAAAACTTAAAGTTTTTGCAAAGCTCACAAGGTCAGTTATTAGATTCTGGAATAAAAAATAAAATGTTTTACTTAAAAAAACTGATTCGATGTGACCTTTTCTTGTTCTATCCAAATTATCTTTATTTACAAATGGCACGTAAAAATTATATTATTCCTCGCTCTTGACGTCACGATTAAATATGGCTGTGGTGATTACTCAGAAGCTTTAAGATCGGATTGCAAGTATTTGGGACACTGTCAATAATTAAGCTATTTATTCTTCAAATATTAATTCAAAGAATTTGTTTCTTGCTTCTGAGACAATACTGGTAAGGACAATAATTTGAGATAATATTGGTAAATAAACAAGAGCCTTAATACTTTCAAAAGCTAAAGATTCTGTATTAATTTAAAAAAAAATTGAAATTGTTTATATGCCAAACTGCAGAAAAGTCATTGTTTATAATTTTTTAAATATAGATTTGAGAAATAAATTATTCAAGTACCTGCAGGATATTTAACCATTTATCAGCAGAAACACTGAGATACTGAAACTCCTTGTCCTTTACACAATCTGCGTTCGCAACGACTAGTGCTTTAACTCCAAATATCTCGCATGTCCTAGCGATGCCTCCTAAATTCGGTGATCGATCGACAAAAGAAGCTACAACTATTAGACCTTGCTGCAATTGTGTATCTTGCAGAAACATAAATTCATTTATTACTTCGAAAGTATCACCACATAAACCTATAGGCTTTGATGGATCGATCTTTTTTTGAATATCGTTCAAACCTTCCATATAAATTTCAACATTATTTTCTAATGAATCGCCGTGTGTATCACCTGTAACGTAATTATTTTATATCTTATGCAATATTTTGTTACCGTTTTAATTTATTACCTGCAAAAGATTTTGTCAGATATACGGAAGGTATACTTTTAGTCAGAAATGAACCTGTGTTACAAAGCTGTAGAGGATGACAATCGTTTTCCATAAACATTAAGTCTTTAAATACGTCCGAACTAATCCATTCATCACAACTTACATTAGTCAAACGCGGCAATTGATAATAAATCGTCTACAAAT